TATATATATGTAATTTATCATAGTTCTATTCATCATAATCTTCAACAATATTAATCTTTTCGGGAACAAAAACGAATTTATGAATAATATCTTCTACTTCAGGGAAAAATTTCTTATATTCTTCATAACCTTTCCAGCTTGGTTTTGTCAAATGAGTATACTGTATACCACCACCATAACAATTCATACTACATTCTCGTCCAAGACATTTTAAACATGCTAATTTATAACAATGCTTAATTTCTAGCATACAATGCATTCGCTTCTTTTTCTTTTTCCTATTTTTTGCACTTACCGTACGCCAAAATTTTTCCTCACAAATGCGCGTGGCGCGAATGAAACAATTATCATTCCAACAATGAAAATCATTTGTTGATTTTCCCGCAATAGTTGAACAATTCACTTTACAATGTTCCATAAATGGACTTGTTTTTGTTAAAATACAATTACTTATTGCAATTGGACATTGTTGACCATCTGATTCCGATGATATTCCTTCCACCTCTGATATCGCTTCTGTTCCATTTTCTACGGCTGATGCATTTATTGGCGTTATTGTTATTGTTTTCGTTTTCATCGTTGTCGTCTGCGGTGTTATCTGTATAAATTACATCTAATTGTATCAATCATTAGAAATTACAACAATTGTAAATTACTTCATTATCTTTTTTCTTAAAATTGTATAATAATGATATCATAATATATTTATGTCTAAAAGTATAATATGAAATTCACTTATTTACTTATATGATTAGGCAAAGTTATGAGAAGCGATAGATAAAAATTGCCAATGAAATCTTTCATCTGTTAGCATTACAACAAAAATATTACTAATTAGGTGCAATTAGCAAAAACAGAAAAAAATAACTTGATAAAAATCCAACAAATCAATTAGTATCAATTTAGAAAATATTTTACTTCCACAAAATGACAGTTTGCGATATTTAAATTATTGTGGATAATTTAAATATCGCAAACTGTCATTATTCAGTGTTATATAAAACAAAAGAAAAAACTATAAATTAAAATTTCATATCAAATATATTTGATAAAGAAAAAAAGCACAAATTATCATTGATTACTGTTTGTTTAATTATTACTTTTCAATTAAAAAAAATTTTTTCTTTCTTTTTAATTATTACTAATGCAAAAGTTTAACCTTATCTTCGCTGTGTGCGTGGAAAAATTTGACAAATGTTGGTTTACATTCAGTCAAAATTTGATTCTTTAAATCAGTCGGTATTTGAGGAAGTTCAAAACGATGGCGTATATCGACAAAACTATTACACAATGGTATAATGACGACGATTAGTAGTGCAAAATATTTGAGAGCAGTAATGACAGTCATCAATAATATCGGAAATTATTAACCCATACAATATGTTTCGGTTATAAAACAATGATTGATTCTATATTTCATACCAATTAATATAGCATTTAAAGAATTAATAAATACAATGAAAGAGGGAAATTTTTATATTATTCAATTTCAAAAAATGTAAAACATTCCGTTTTGCAATTAAATTTACATATTTTTCTTTTTTATATAATCTTAATAAGTTTAATTAATATATTTGCAATATTTCGGATATTAATTATTAGGTGTTAGTGATGGTTAGATAAGGAAATTTTGAGCAATTTCGTTTCAAAATTCTTATAGACTTGCCAATATTCAGCTGTGTGTATTCATATGGTTGGTCCTCCGGTCACCTTTTTTAAGCAAGAGAATGTGTCTTTAAATAGACAAAAAGTTTTTTAGATTTCTTTGATTTTTTAAATTTGAAGTGTCAACTTTGTTTTAAATTTCCAGTCTTGAATATCCAGTACAAACAATTTGGAAGCAGTAAAATGACTTGTTGGGAAAATTTTCTCAAGCATTTTATTTCACTTACATTTCAATAAAACACTTCGAAGGATACTGAAATGAGGAACAGTGAAATGCTCCAACAGACTTAAATGTATACAATGATAAGTTGGAGAACAGTGAGGTAAACGTTGTCAGCAAAAATGATGGAAAGGAAAGAGCGTCGTGAAAATACGTCATCAAAGCGCCCAATAAATTAAAAGACTCGATATCGCAAGAAAATTTGATGAAAAGTATTAATGATATTAGATCATTTCCCTCATTCTTTATTATTTAGCAATTATTTCATTATCTTGCATTCATCTAGCCATTTCCTCCTTCTACGATATGAAGATGAGTTGAGAATAATGAAACCATATCATCTATTTAAATTAATCCAATAGAGCATGAAAGAAATTTTAAAAAATTACATTTTGAAACGAAATCATTCAACTGATACATTGGAAAAAAACCTCCTCAATTTATCAAAGAAAATTTTTAAAAAGTAATCAATTCAGAGCAGTATTAGTGTACTTCAGAGGAAAAAAAACCGTTTTTTGTATCGTATAGTTTTCGGATCGTATAAATAGCTAAGCAGCATTTACATGCGCAATGCAAAAAACGGCATGTTTCACGATTCTATGAGTCAAATTTACTGTTACTTTTCCTTTGACCAAATTCTTCAAAAAAAAAATTGTATCATAAATTTTCCTCACATTCACGAAATTCTCTGACTGCTGCGCGCCGTACCTGAAATTATCATATAGATTGCGATTTGACTGCGACGATAGATTGCGATGATAACTTGCATAAAACATCAATAAGTTAATGATACATGCAACTACAGAGGAACAAACTCGCGTTAATTTATTAATAATCACAAATTTTGTATTAATAATCACAAATTTTTTAGTTATTTTGTAATGAAAGATTTTCTTAAATACATAAAAATCAAAATTCATACAGGCAGCCGATTAAGAGTATCTAAGTTAACCAAAATAAATAGAACTAAAAAATTCGCAGTTGCATTATAGAGACTTAAACATTACGTGCAACCAGATTATATTTCCTCAAAAAAAATGCACTGCATTGGATTTTCAAATAGATTTGTGAGTAGCATAAGAATAAATAAGAGCGAAATTTGAAAAACGACAGAAACTGCAAGAAATGAACATAAAGAAGTATGCAAAGAAATACTTCATTAAGGAACGAAATAAACAGACAACAAGTTTAAGGTTTACCACGGTATCAGCGATCGAATCACAATGTTTTGCTAAAACTTCTTTGAAAGCATTACATGCATCCAACCGAGATTTTGGAGTGTTTAATTGCTTTTGCGCTAATCCAAGATGATACTGATTTTGAGGACAATCGCTTTGCTACAAATTTGTTTTTAAATCATGAAAGATTTGACATAAAATGTAAAGAGTAGTTCCATCCATAACAGTAAGTACTGTGATTTTCAAACTCCGGTAGTTCTCATATAATCCTGCAGTTTGGTACAACGGAACAAACCGTTTTATATATCTATCTGTGGAACGTGGTACATTCACATAATGAAGAATGATATCATTTAGTTCGAAATATCACTTTACTGCAACATAACATCCATTGAAAAATTCCAAGTCCAAAATATATACTATTCGCTGTTCTAGACGGAATCACTTCTTGAACTCTTATGAAAATCTGCATTTTCACATCAGCGATTTGGAATTCCTTTTCAAAAGTATCAAAGAAATATGTTTGCAAATATACAAGAAATCAACTAACTTTTAATTTCTTTGCCCGCAAATGACAATCAATAGCTTGCTGGTATTCACCAAGCTCATATTTTGCAACGCCTAAAAATGTATCTCGAAACAATATATTGCAAATTTTAATTATAAATTGAAATTGAATGTGCTTCAAATGACATGATATTCGAAAGGTATTGAGTTTGAACTTTATAAATTTTTCAGCTAAAAACTAAAATGAAAATTAAGCCAAATAAAAATCGTCAATTAAATAAATTTTCATAACTCTCCAATTTAAAAATTCCTGATGTAAATAAGATTTAAGGAATTCTTTCTTAATTGTGTTTCCAGTTTTTCAATAGTAATTCACCCATTAAAAATTTGCCCTACCTAATATTTTAACTAAAAATGTTTCGATACTCTAGAATGATCAAGGAAGAATACTGAAATGTGAATTATGATTAACTATAACAGGATATTCACTGATTATTCATGGGATTCATCGTAATAACAAAAAGATTTTTGATTTCAGAAAGGTAGTTTTCCATGCAAAAATTGTAAGATCGATGTGAAAAGGAGCTAGATTTTGCCTAAATAAAACTTCACCTCAATCTTTACCTGAATAATACCAAATTCAAAGTTTTTTACTTAAATAATACCAAATTTGCAAAGTCAAACTTTACCTAAATAATACCAAATTTGCGGATCTGTGATATCAGTAATCAATGCTTTTTCAAGTTCATTGATTGCCTTCAATAATCGCTTTCTTTTGTTTCCATATTTCGATCTTTTCAACATGATAAGACCATACCTAAAATTTCGGACAGTTTATAAATACAAAATCTGAAAGATTGGAGACTAGTAAAATTTATGAGAACTGAAAATTTTCTAATTAACATTATATGACACATATCTCAATAACAGAAAAAAATAAAATGTATTACCATTTATGAGTTTCGGCTCTTAAATCCTCATCTTCCTCAACAGTGGCTGCTTTGATTGCGTAGCGATGAGCCTTTATTTACAAAATTTAGACTTTTTTTTAAATTATGAAGAGATGAATTATTTTATATTTTTGCAAACGTATAAAAATCATAACAAGATGATGCAGAACTATTACAGCAGTTAGCGACATTTCCCCAATTTATTCGGATTTAAGATGCTCCGTGAAATGTCAATATCTCTACTTGATAAGACAATTTGTGTTATTGTAGCCGGATAGCGTAATATTTTGAAGGAATATGAATAAATTCAGAAAATCATATCGCTAGATTTCAATTACTTTGTTTCAGCATTTTAAATAAAATTCTCAAAAACTTGAAGGCATAGAGAAAGAAAAATACCTTGCGCAAAACTTTTCTTCGTAACCGATTATCATTGTCAAGCCTAATAATTTGATCAGCCTTCTCTAACGAATCAATAGCACATCTAAAATGAAAGCAAAAATACAATTGAATATAAAACTTCATAGAAATTCAAGAAAAAAGACGTTCAATCTCTATTTATTTAATAATTTCAAATCTCTTAAACAAAGCTTATCAGTGGTAAGGTCACCGTTTGACGAATAATGTTATGATAAGTTCTAATATGGCATTTTTGTAATATACCGAAATGAAGTTTTGTTCAATTCGTAATCCGTGATGGCTGAAACAATATGAGACATTTAAAGTAAATTCTGGTTGCTAAATTTCCACCTTAGATAGGATCCACTTGGAATGTTTTGTCGATACTCCTCTTCGATGTAATGACGCTTACCAACAACATCCGCAAATTTAAAATAAAATTCATAGAAATCAGACCGATATTTCCTCCTAAGCATGAAAACACTTAAAAAAATTAAAGAGATAAAAAAATTAAAGGGAAAATATAGTAGCAATATAAAGTACTAAGAGATCTAACCAAAGAATACCATTTCTCATTATCATCTAGAATTGGGCACGAATCAACTGAATCTACCACACCAACTGCCAAGTATCCTGCCGCGCCAGCAATACATGTCTTGATTAATGGATATTTCCATAATCTTGTCACCATCTAAACATAAAATGATTCTGAAGGGGTTTACAGCAAACAGATTCTGAAGGGGTTTACAGCAAACACTAGCTATAACTTACAGTAGCTTGATGGCTGAGATTTCGAAGTTACCAGAGAGAGATATTTCGTAGTTGTTAGTTAAAGCCAAAGCTAACAAACATAAACTGTACAAATTGTAACCTAGTCTATAATGTTGAGAATTTAAATTATTCAAACCTGAATTTGGAAAAGAAAGAAATTCGAATTTCTTGACTGAAATTACCAAAAATGAAAATAAGCAAGAATAAGGAATGAAAATTTATACTGTTGACACAGAATCCTGAATCGAAGGACACATCAAGTATTCCCGCTTATTCGCTTAACTTTTACTGATAATTGCTATTCACAAAGTTTGAATGACAAGCAAATTATGTATACAAGAATTTATCTTTCGACTACAAAAAATAAATGAATTTCTTGAAATGAAGATTAGTATGGACAAGCCGAATCTGGGACATCTTCCATATGCATTCCGCACTTTTTCAACAAGAATTCACGAGCTTGCATTCCAGCCTAAAATTCTGATAATAAATTAATCATCCGACACTACCACAAAAGGGAAAAACGGAAATGTTTGTTAGCGTTATTAAAGTTTCAAGTACTCCCAAAAATTTACCATATCCATCTTTACTTTGCTCTTACCTACATAACCGCACAACTTACTCCTAATAAATGTTCGCGATTCCCTCATTTTGAAAAATTACGTAAAATTTAATTTTATATTTTCATACATCACATAACCTCAAAAAATTTGCTTAAAGAAGCTTTATCTCCATCTCCATTTTTCCATTTATAATTCAAGCTAGTGCAACTTCGTGAATATCTTAATAATATCAAAGAAAAACCTTATATTCATTCCTGTAACGGGGAGTTAGAGTTTTCGCTTTCTTGAAACTTTCGCATGCATCTTTTTTTCGTCCTAATGCAAGTTCTGCCTTCCCAAGCCACAATGTGTTTTCATTTGAGAAACCAGGCTGAAAACAACGCCTATGCTTGGAATTTAATTAATAAGGTTTCGCTCATCCACACAATTATTTTATGCTACAATATTTTTTATGGATAGATTAAAAAAGCAAAAATAACGAACGCATTTTAGCCTTACATGAAATCACAAAAAGAAATACTAAGTTTCATATCACATTCGGTGGACATGGTATTCCACGGTACTTGAGCGTCTTTTTTCTATGAAACCAGCAAGGATATCAACAAAGAATCCCGACCCCTTTCCTCCTTAAATAACCAACCAACAATACTCACAGTAAATAGCCAATAAGATTCCAAATTTCGGTAAATCTACAGTATAATAACTCTCATACCCAGTGGTCACTTTATAAAAATCAAAATGAGAAAATTTTAAACAATTAGGACTAATCAACCGAATTTTTTAAAAAATGCTCATGCCTCCAGTGATTCGGCTTTTTGATGGCTTTCCAATGCACTCTTGTAATCTTTCTGCATATATTGCACAATGCCTGAAATGCCTCCAGTTTGTTTTTGCAGATGATACATTCAAGATTTCTTTAACATGCTGCATTTTTTTTTGAAAAAGAAGAAAATTTCAGTTAAGAAATTGCTTCGAAAAATTGTATACTTTTATAAACTATTTTATATTTATAAACTAAATTTCTAAACTTTTAAAGAGTATACAAATTTTTTGCTATCAAGTGCCTACAAATGATGTATAGATGACTTCTTGCGTTAGACAAGTTTTGTTTTACAGTTTGCTGGTTATATAAACACTCCAATAGCTAAGTTAGCCTAATTATGAAAACAAATACTAATCTTATTTCAGTATATTGTTATTTCATCAATTTTTCTCCAATTTTCAATTGCAACGAGATGTATTTTTTAATATCAGTAAATAACTATTAAAATTTTCGCATAAAAGTAATCGAGTAATCCATCCCCCTATTTTAGACTCAATTTTATATATTCACTAATAGCACTCTTCCTACATATTTTACACTGACAAAAGCGAACTGTGAAGATAGGATAATGGACAAACAATGCAATTAAATCAGCTGTTAAATGACAGCGAATCGGTGGGGCATCAATTCCGTAACTTATTCTTAATTGCTTGGAAAATCGTCAAGAGAAAAAAACAAATGCCATTTGCAAACAAGATATAATTTCAGCTGAATCATACTTCATCAGAGTTATCAAAAGTTCTAAATAGACATTATTTCATGCAGTAAATACAGATTTACGATGGTTGGATCATAAATCTATATTTACATCGTAAATCTGTAAGAAAACTTCAAATAAAAGTCACCTCAGGAAATATTGAAAAGACATTTCTATATTACTAATTTTTTCACTTTAATAAAAATTATAAAGCTATCTAGGAATCGGACGTTCTAATTCCACTTATTCTACTGAAAACTTTTTCCATAATATATTATTTTATTCACAGAACAAAGTTCCAACAGTGGCGAGAACCACTGATTGCTGGCAGTTTTGCAATTATACAGCTAACTACATTATTATTAGTAAAATCTGGGATTAAAAATCTCAACCTCCTACTTCTACAACATAGTTAATCGAGTAACAAAATTATAATTTAACAGTATAACAAACAGTTAACCTAATTAGGTTTAGTATGTAGTTTGGCAGTTCAGCAAGATAGGGACATATAAAATAAAAGAAAAACAAACCAAGATACTGCCACGATCTCACATCCTTTGGGTCTAATTCAACCGCTTTCTCCAGGTGTTTTCGTGCTTCATCAATTTTCTTATCCGAGCGGAAATCCATTAGTTTTACCAAAGTTATTCCGTACCTGAAGATGCTAAGAAATCTATTTTACATCATCTTTTATACTTTATTCATGATCATCATCGAGAACGGCAAAAATATTAATAAATCTATGAGAAAAAACCGACTTTTGAAAAAGACAGTCTCAAATTAGATGCTACATTTAATGATTATTCGGTCACTGAAAAGGATGAAAATCCATAAATTAATTTAATCGAATGGGTTGAAGAGCCCAAAAAAATGGATAAACCCTTCTCAAGAATAAATATGTTCAAATTCATTACATAATTCCAACTTGCCATTTGTGTGCGTTAGCATTTTGACTCTGTGAACTTTCATTGTCAAGCGCCTTTTTACCAATTTTCTCAGCCTAAAAATTACTATGTTCGCTGCATTCAATGACTAATTTAGCACTCCGAATATTATCCAGAAAATATTTAAAAATAAAAAACAAAAAGAGACTCCGATAAAAAGAAACCTCGAGGAATGTTGTCATTCGATTCTTGTCGGCACTTGAAGTCCATAAGGCAATTTCGAGTAATACTCGAGCATACCGCCACAGGATGTCCGTATTCGTTGAGTCCGAATATCTGAAATAAAAAGATTAATACGTATCACAATCACCCAAATCTAAACTGAATAGAAAGTCAAGAAATGTAAGATATGGAAAGAGCTTACAAGAAATTTTAGGAAAGAAACCCCTTTGTCTTAAGATAAAATGATACCGATGTAGTGCAAAGTTTCCTTAGAAGTGCTGTATCCCAATCACGTTTTTTACGGCGTGATTTATCCCCTTCAAAAATCTGATAAGCTGATGGTTCATCTAAAACATGGATGTCATAATGAAACAAACAGAAATATAAAATACAACTTACGGCAAAAGCCTTTCACGAAGATTCTCCAGCAGTATTACATCATCTAAATAGCCTTTTCGATTGGTATATTTTATTGCAAATGACAGCTTACGCACAGCTGTTTGATACCTGCATATAAAAATGCTGATATAACAAACAACAAAAAACTGTTGGATATTCGCTACATTGCACTACTCGATGCTTGAACCAAAACTTCCGAAAATGAAAAAGTATTAATCTACTTTCTAGTAATGATGGCAGTGATATATTCAATAACTGATATATAGACTTATTAACAGAGAAAAGTAACTCATATAAATGTACTCCGCTTACTCCTTAAATAACAAGAGTCATTCAACTGATACGGTTAATGTAACAAGAGTCTTCAACTGATACACTGTTAATATGTGAACTCAAAGTTTGCACAGAAGCAAATTTCAGTCTGGGAAGAATAAAACAGCTGAAGTAGATACAGTGGCATGGGATTTCGAAATCTATACAAATCAACTGTTAAGCATCAAATATCATTTCTGAGAATTGAAACATGCCATGAAGGTTGTTTCTTAAGTTCATCGTCACTGAGAGCTACAGCTGCTGCAGCCAACATTGCCCCTCCAGAGCAAGCATGTTTTCGAGAATGTAAATTCTGAAAAAAATGAGAAGTAACACAGTTTTTTGGAATAAATGACTACGGGGACAATGCCTAATACTCCAAACTTTATTATAATTTAGAGAGGCTGGAACACACTTTAAACTCCCCATATCCCTTCTGGGACCACTATTCAATCCAAGAACACAATATATGCCGCTATTGTAGCAAGCTATTCTAACTTGAACAGGTCCCCAATCTCCCTAACACAAATCATACCGACCGATTTACAAAACTGAAAAATCGATATATTTAATGAGTCAAAATGCACCAACGATAGATAGTAGAAAAAGAAAACAGAAACCAACCTGTACGGTTTTTCGGAAAATATCACTTGTTCTGCGGAACATAGCCTGAAACGAAATTAATTACATTGCTTAATTACAAAGAAAGACATCAGTAACAAAGGTTTATTTATTAAGTAATAACTCAATGAAACAAAAAAATTGACACATCTGAATTTTATTTCTGAAAGCTTTTAATTTTCGAATAATAGAGACGGAAACTTTTTGGTTCAATACAATTTCTGATAACTTCCCAACCATTGAGTCGAACTGCATGCACATCTGCTATATTTAAAGAGCATAATTAGATGACCTAATTCCGTAAACTATTTCGTCCGGATGATTCGGAAGAATCACAGAAATGAGACAAATAATCCCCTTTTGGGAGAAAATGTTGCATAGAAAAGAAGTCAGTTTTGA